AGCTCGGGTGCGGTGCTGCGCGTCCTCCTGCGCCGCGGCGGCCGCTACTGCCACGCCGCCAAGCTCACGGTGCTTGTGCTCGTCTCCCTCGTGGTTTTCTATGCCCCCAGCAATGTCCTCCTGCTCCTTCACTACTCCAGCCCCTGCTCCAGGCTGCACGGCCGGCTGTACCTCAGCTACATGGTCAGCCTGGCCCTCAGCACCTTCAACAGCTGCGCTGACCCCTTCATCTACTACTATGTGTCGGAGGATTTCCGGGAGAAGGTGAGGAGAAGAGTCTTCAGGGGCAGCAAAAAAACCACCATGTCCCTGAAGACCTCCAAGGAAACGCTGCCCCGTTCCAAGCATTCTCTGGTGTGAGCCTCCAGCCCAGCTCCTGCTCCCAGGACGCTCATCACGCACACAGTGGGGATAGGATGAATTCAACACTGGAATTCCACAAGTTTCACCCAGAACAGAGTTTCTCAGGAGCCAAGTGCTTTCCCCTGTCTGCACAGATAAGGATGAATAGACCCAGGCTGTGGGATTCTTTGCTCAGACAAGATGCTGAGTGTTGGACACATCCATCCTTTACTGGGATGCTGTCTGCAGCTTCTCAGCTGCTCACACACCAGCAGGGATGTTCCTCCCCATACAGCTGGGTCTGGTGTTCCTAACCTGGCTGCTCTCTGCCTGCTAGTCCTGCTCCTGGATTCCTCACTACCCTTAAATGCATATTCCTTTCCCCTAAAACTGAAAAAGACCCATCATCACAAAACCAAATTCTAAATGTTTCAAAATATTAACTAAACCAGTCTGCCAAAGGAGTGCAGAGTACTGGTTTGTGTAGCAAAAACATTCTTGGTTTGATTTGTAAACATCCCCTCAGGAATGTCAGCTCACTGTTGGTAAAAGGTGTAAAAATCCCCTTCACTCATCCCTGTTTTTGCAAATCACCCTTGGCATCCATCATTTCTTTGAGGCAAAGGTTTTGTTAATGGATTTTGTAAAAAAATGATGTCTCGTGAAGGGAAATAAAGTAAGAAAGGAGAAAAGCCTCTGGTACTCCACACTTCCTTCATGTAATGTCACCCACAGCCAAAAGCTGGCTCTGATCAAAGAGGTGCTCAGGTTTGTTGTTTGTTGGAACCTGCTGCAAATCTGACAAAATGCAGCCTGCTCATCTCTCCGACACAACTGGGGCACAGCTCTGTCAGTAGCCAGGTAGAAAATGAGCAATAAACCTCTTTAGAGCTTCTTAATTCTTTAGTGTTCCCAGCACAGGCATGACAACATAAAGCATTAATAAGAGGCAGAGAGGATTGTCTTAAAATCAGTTTTTAATAAAATATTTATCAGAATCTAAAACAAACACTTTTCTGGACTCAGACTTGCTAAGATGTGTGTGAACAAACCAACAACCGGTCAGAGAGCTGTTTGTGTGTACCTGTGGGGGCAAAAGGCAAAAAGGGGGGAAAACACAAAGCTGGGCTCTGGGTGCTGGGCACTCAGTCAGAAACAGTAGGGATGAAAAAAAACCCAAAGCCAAAGCCAAAGCCAGGCTGGTAGAGGTTTTCTAAATAGTTGCTCTATTCACAATAATGAAAATCAGGTTATTGTGCATTAAATGTCAACAGTCAGTGTGAGCAAAGCAAGTGCTGGTGTGTTGGGGATGTTCTTCAAGCAAGCTGAACATTCTTCTGGTATTTGCTTTCTACTGAGGCTGATTAAGAAGGAGGGGAAGAGGCAAGACCAAAACACAGGACAAGAAAGAACAAGGGGAACTATTGCTTTAAAATAAATACCATGGTAATGATTACTCTGCATAATGTACAGTTACAAATATATAAATATTAATTTCCTTGGAAGGATTGCAAGCATCAATCACTGATAACTAGCACTGCTGCAGCTATTCAGTCACAGAACTCGATGGAAGAAGAGATTTCTGTGTCTTACAAACCCACTGGCACTTTTCTCCTTTTGCAGTGAGGGACCATCAGGAAAAGGAAAGGAGAAACATCTCTCTGACAGAGGGAGGCAAAGTCTCTAAGCCAAAAGCAGCCCAAGGCAGCAGCAGCAGCTCCTGGCCTTGCTGGTTTTGGCTTTCCAGCACCCAGCTGGTCTTTTCCTTGGTGGAAAAAACAATAAAACCAATCTTTCTCTCTAAATTGCCTGGCTGAGGTGCACAAAGTGGGAGCCTGAGGTGTCCTTGTGCTCTCAGGGACAGGAGGGAGACTGAGCAGAGCTGGGCCTAAGCCTGTGAATGGCTTTGAGTCTGTTCAGCTGTGCTGTGTCCACTGCTGCTCAGGGATCCAGTCCTCCAGTTTCTGTATTCCAAAAGCAGGATGTTGAAGAATGGAAGAAAAACAAGCTATGATTTTTTTTTTTCCCTAGATAAGAATGAATAATGGTTACAAGAAACATGAGCAGCAAATGGGGGACAGGGGAAAGCTCTGGAACTTCAGCTGGGGTGGAGAAGAGAGCAGAGACCTTCTCCTTTATCCCTTTGATCAGGGGAAAAGGCAACCACAGTGGTGGAACTGCAGGTTCTTTGATAAATTCCTTAAATAAAAGCACCTTTTTTCTTTTTAGCTGGAGCTGGTTTGGTGTAGCAAGAGCAGGAGGAGGCAGAGGCTGCCAAGAGCAGAGGGGCTGGAAGTGCCAAGGCTGGGGGTGAAGTCGGGATCCAGAAATCCTGTCAGATGCCCTCCCACACACTGCCCTGCTCTGTCTGCCTCTGAGGACATTAAGACTGCTTTGCCTTTGCCTTCTGAGGGTCCAGGGCTCTCTGGCTTTACTTTGAATTGTAAAACAGAAGACAGACTCCTCTGCCTCAAGCACTGGCACAGAGATCCCTCAGACAAGGCCCTGATTGATGGGCTGGCACCACCAGCAGGAATTATTTACCTGGCAGCAACAGGGGGATGTCTGCATCTGGAATTAGGACATTACATGTCCCACAGCCTGAGGAAAGTGAAGAAAGCCAGGTTTAATTCTTGGCTGGAACTCCTCAGCCTCACCTCCTCCATCCCCAGGGGGAGGTCTGAGTGCCCAAGGATCTGTGAGAGGACCAAGCAATTTAAAATTACTTCAAGTATCTCTCCAGAAACATTCACTGGGAGTACAATAGGTGAGAGAGAGCAAGAAAGGAAAACCAGGAAGGGACTGAGGCATCCAGAACACAGATCCCATCTCCTGGATGAAGCCAGTCACAGACATCACCAGGGTGACCAAATGCCTCATCCTCCCAACAGCTTTGCATCCACCAAACAGCTGCAGCCTGAACCAGCAAACAGCAGGGATTGTATTGTGCAGTTTTCAGTTTTAGAAAAGGGAAAAAAAAAAAGAAAAAAGAAAAAAGGAATCTTGTTGCAGCTGACACTAGGCCTGTTATTCACCCAGGGATAAATATTGACTCAGTCCTGTGTGTGTACACAATAGCCAGTGCCTGCCAGGACAGTTGCTTGCAGGAGGTGGAATTTAGTTTAAAGGCATTTATTTACCTGCCAGGCAGGAATGCAGCTGCCAGGGTGAGGGCAGGATCTGTCCCTGCACACCCCAGATGTGGGGCAGGACCCTCATCCCAGCAGGATCCTGGGGGCAGCCACGAGGGGAGGCTGACAAAGCTGCCAACGAGGCAGCTCAGAAATTCCTGGGAACTTCAAGACCCAGACCTTCATCATGTCAACTGCATTCTGCAAATGTCTGGCCCCAGACAAAAAGAACTGGAAACTACACATGCCCAAGCTCTGGGATACCTCCTGGTTGTCCCCATGTGGACATTTTTCTGAAATTAACTTGCCTTTCTTCTGGAATGGAATGTCTATACTGGGATATATTCTTGTCATGGTTCCTGTGTAAACAAGCCTTAAAAATGAATGGAGCTGGGCTTTTTTTTTTTTTTTCTGTTTCCATTCACCAATAAACACCCTCAAAAGGAGTTTCCACCCTGCTCTGGGTCCTGGTAACAATAGAAGCGGGAAGATAAAATATTAACACTATTTTGCAAGAGGCAATTGCATGTAACTCCTCCAAAGAGAACAATGCTGCTCCAGGCAGGAAGGGAAACTCAGAAATCTTGGCTCCTGCACTTTTGGAAACACAAAGCTTTTCTTTTTAAGTTTTGCCACGTTGCTTGGGGCAGGTCAGACCGAGGGAGTCCAGCCTGTGACACCAGGGATTGGTACTGGCCAGCAGAGCCAGGGCCTGGCCAGGGAATACCAGGGCCAGAACATGCTGTGCTGGATGCCAGTGGGAGCGAAATAAAAGGGGTTGGTGAAGTCAGGCAAACATTTAAAAGGGCTGTGCCTGGGCCAGGTTCATTTTCAGGCCAGGCTTTGAGGAGAAAGGGGCTGAGAAGGCTGCAAGCAGCCCCTGTCAGCACGTAGTGCAACACAAAGAGGGCTCCCCCACCTCATCCCTGCCTCTGCTGAGGCTGCAAACGCCCACCTGAGGCTTGCAGACAGCAGCAGACATGAAGCCTTTCAGCCCTGGCACTGGATTTCAGTTTTCTCAGGTAAAATGTACCTCCCAAGAGCTTCCCTGAACTGTGGAGCCACAGGGAAGTGTTTCTCTCATGGGTGCAGACTGATGGGCCGGGGAAGATGAGTAGCCTCTTGCTATGTCACAATTGGCAAAACACACTGATTTTTATTATTATAATTTGAGCAAAAAACTTCTCAGCCATCTTTCCTCAAACAGCAGTTCAGCTAAGCACAAGGCCTGGACTTAGCTTCTAAGTGTAGCTAGGAAATGGCATTTGCAGAATATCCTGATAGCAGAGAAAACACTTGGAAATGCTCTATAGGTTTGAATTCCAGCCCCTATTTTTCTCACCTAGAGGGCACAGCATATTGGTCTCTCATCACTGGAAGGGCTCCAAAGAGGATGCACAAGAAGGCAGGAAAATGGACAGAAAAATAACGCTGAGTGTCCCCCTTAGAGCTCCAAATCTGCCCCGTGGGGCAGCAAAGCCTACAGTTCTGAGGGCATCAGGAAGTAGTCATCATTCAGATTCTGTTCTGCAGCAGGTCGTCTGGAGGAACAAACTCATACAGGAGTTGATTCTGAGCCTCTTCTCTTTATTTAAATTATGTATTTCTGTGGGAAAGAGAACACAAGGAAGAAAAGTCACCTTGCTGTGATGCCTCTTTGTGTGACATTGCTGAGCCTGGGCAGGGAAAATCTGAGAAGGTCACAGAGCTGGGAGGGACCCCCAGGGATCAAATCCAGCCCCTGTCCCTGCCCAGACCCCCCAACAGCCCCACCCTGAGCAGCCCTGAGAGCGCTGTCCAAACGCTCCTGCAGCTCTGGCAGCCTCGGGGCCGGGACCATTCCCTGGGGAGCCTGGGCAGTGCCAGCACCCTCGGGGGGAAGAACCTTTCCCTGAGCTCCATGCCAAGGCCTGGCACAGCTCCAGCCCTCCCTGGGCTCCAGGAGCTGTCACCCCAAAGCAAAATCTGTGTCCATTCCTCTTCCCCCTTCATGAGATTGATGAACCTCCCCTGGGCTCCTCTGCTCCAGCTGAACACCCCAAGTGACAGATCACTCCATTCCCCTGGGGATGAAACCACTGAGGTCCCAGAGCCTTTTACAGCTACACCCCATTCCTGCTGACCCCTTTTTGGGGAGCTGACCAGCACAAGGACACCAGAGGCTGGCTCAGAGCCCCCTGCCCCGCTGTGGACTCACCATTCTGCCGGGGTGACCTCGGCCTGGCTGCTGTCCCCTTCCCTGAAGGTGCTGGCCGTGCCCAGCTCTGCCACCACCTCGAACACGTCGCCCTCCACGGCGAAGGCGTCGGGGTCGTACTCGTAGGAGTAGTAGGACAGGTCTGTGTGCAGGGGGGGCTCCTCCTCGGCTGCTGGAGGAAGCAGAGCTGTAGGAGCTGCATGGCCACGCAGCAGGGCAGGGCAGCAGGAGGAAGGGATTTAGTCAGGGACACCAGGGAAGGAGGCTGCAGGTGTCAGCACATCTGCACCTGCCTGCTGGGGTTCACAGGGAAAGGGAGAAGCTGCTGCAAAAGCAGAGTTTTCATTTCCCAGTCTGAGAAACTGGAATAAAGTGAAAGGAAAGTGGGGGAACAAAGAGTGGGGTAAAGGAGGAAACAAAAAGGAAAAGGGGAAACAAAGGAAGAAGGTAAATAAGGGTGGGAAAGAAGGAGGAAACAGGGAGGGGAAATGAGAAAACAAGGCAAGGAAGAAGAAGAAATAAGGGGGTGAAGAAGAAGAAACAAGGGGGGAAAGAAGGAGAAAACAAGGGGGGAAAGAAGGAGAAAACAAGGGGGGGAAAGAAGGAGAAAACAAGGGAAGAAAGGGAAATAAAGGGAGGCAAAGGGCAATGCAGTTTGAAAAAATCTCCAAGTCTCCTTTTCCACCATGGAATTAACTGAGGTGCTGAAGTTCAAACCCATCAGCCTGAGAGCTGCACACAGCAAGACAAAAGTGTCATGGAGAGGGCAGATGGCACAGGGGATTCACTCTGCACCCTGAAAATCTCTCCTCTGACCAGGCACCTCAGGTAAGGTGAGCCCCATCTGCATGGGGACATGTCCTGTGTGCCCTCAGCTGTGCATCATTTCATTAAACAGGTGACAAAACTGGAGGGAGACCCTGAGGGAACAGCTCATTCAGTGACTGAGCAGTGGAGGCAGCCAACTTTCTTTTCAGCCCAAGTGTGAAGGTTTTGAGGCCAGGAACCCAGAGCAGAGCCATTGACTCCAGCCTGAATGAGGAGCTGAGGTACCTCTGCCCCAGCACAGACACACAGCACTGAAATTTCCATCACTTTCTGTAGGGACAGACCCAGCACAGGCAGAAGTAGGAATTTCTCCATTTCCCACTCCCTGCAGTCTGTGCTGACACTGTCAGGTCCCTCTCACAGCACATACCCCACTCACACCAGGCTGTGCCTCTGTGCTCCCTGTCCAGAGGGCAGAACTGCAAGATAAAACTTCTAGGAACAGCAGCAGATCTGTGTTTCCTAAAGTGCTCCTCGAGCCAGCTCAGCTGTCCATCCTTCCTGTTTGCTCTGTGTGTACAGTGCTCTAATCCAAAGCAAAGCAAGCACTGAGGCAGAATTATTGCAGGGAGGAAAAGTCCCCCGCCCGCCCAAAGCTGGCTTTATTTAAAGAGAACACTCATCAAGGCCTTTGAAAATGTTTGTTCTCTAGGAATAAAATATCTGAAGGATCTTCCCTGTTGCCTCCCACATCCTCCCAGCTCTGGGCAGGGGAGTGAGGCTCTGTTCACTCCTTCTTGGCCTCCTCCCTGTGAGAACCTGCCAGACCATGAGCTCCTTCTATGAATGGGTGATTGCTGTCCACCAGGGCTGGGATGAACATCACAGGCCTGACTCTTCCCAGGAATTCAGCGCTGGAGCCCAAGCAAAGAGCACAGGCCGGCGTTTCCTGCTGCACACAAACCACTCCCCCAGCCCCAAATGTTTGTGCCGAGGCCAATGTTTGCTGAGCAGTGATGGGGGGAGAGGAAAAACGGCTCTGTGCCAGTTTAATCAACCCTGAAAGAGCTGCAGCCCTGCGGGGATGACAGCCAGGGAATTTTGGGGATGACTCCACCTGGAAGCAGAGCTCAGGCTGGTGTTCCTGATGGGAGCTGGTGTGGGTTAGGGCTAGGCATTTAATGAAAAAAACAAACCAAACCCCACAAACAAAACACCACCACCAAACAGAAGTGTCACAATTCCACCTAGAACTTTCTTCCAGTTCCAGCCATCGGCCCTTTCTGATTGTTGGAGCCAAACTGCAAAGGACATGGCTGTGGGGAGAGGCAGGGGCCAAGAGCTGAGCCTGGGGGGCTTCCTGCTCACAGCAGCACTGATACCCCAGCACTGCTGCCCCACACACTTAGATGTTTTCTTTCCACCAAATCCATGCAGAATCACAGCACTGAGAAGGTAACATACTGCCCTCCAACATCAGTTCTGTGCCTTGAGTGCCTTTTGGCAGAGATTTAGGCAGTTTCAGAATAGAGTTAGTGGTCTGTGGAAGCAATCAAAGCACCACTTAATCACAGAGACACTGTCAGAGCTACTGGGGATCCCACAGGCTCTGAAATCACCCAGATCCTTGTGGTTAAGAAGTGACAAAGATCTCAGGAAAGTCACAATCAGAAATTCAGTGAGATCCCAGTTAGTAACTCAGCTCCTGCTCCAGGGTTTTCTATCCAAAGAAATATTGCAGCAGGCTGTGAAGGCACACGAGCACACCCAGAGCTGGGTCCACTCATCACAATCCTGTTCCACCCTTTTGAGACTCAGTAATTCACCTGAGAAGGAACAGCTGAGGAAGGGGATTCACACAGGAGTTATTTCAGCTGAGTCCTGTCACCCTGCAAACTTCCCTGGCAATCAGAGGATCTACAGATGCAAAGAGGATCCCACCCATCTGTTAAAAAAAAAAAGTTTTAAGGTCAAACCTCAGCCATTCTGCCTCTCAAAGTCTCTGCAGTCTTTGAGAAGGCATTTTAAAATGTTCTGACAACAGCAACAGTGCTGCATCCTGACCTTTCAGGGCCATCTATATTCAATTACTCATCTTGAACAGCTGGAATTTATTCCAGCAAACCCACTGGCGTGTGTGGAACTTCACTGTGGGTCTGTGTGTGCCAGAGGGAGTCCCAACACATCCTGCAATTCCCACTGATGGCTGGGAGGCAGCTGCTTGTTCCCACTGCTGGGTAACACGGACAAGACCTCAATTAAAGCATCCATCAGCCCAACTGAGCTGCACCAGTCTCATGGCAAACACAGGAGGCTTCCAGACAACACAAACACCACGTGCCTCTCTGAGAACCCAGCATTTCCTGCAGATTAACACACCCAGTTGGTTTCACACCAACCTGCCCTACGCTCGATTTGGCTCCTGGAGTTTTGCATCCTTTTAGGAAGTCCCAGATTTAGGCATGGCTCAGCAGAGCCCTTGCTGGAGCACCTGAGCCGACTTAAGCCCATCACATGCTCCAGCAGCACCGAGCCCAGGAGAGCCTGCCTGAGGAGGGGCTCATTCATCTGCTGCTCTTTGATTCATGTCCCGTGTGCTTGACCTGAGAGGAGCCCAGAGGATTAATGAAAATCACATGCTGGGCCCTTTTCCTGGTGCAGGATTTAGTCAGTTTGATTCCTGAATGCTCACTCTGCCATGGCTGCTCCCAGCTCAGCATCCTCCTGCTGGGAATTTGGGCACTCCCAGATCCCAGGACAAAGCTAGCTCCAAGAGCTCAAACATCCTTATGGCACTCAAGTTTGTCCCTCTAAAATCTGCATTACAGTGCCACACAGAATAATCAGATTTTCCCCTTTTTCTCCTTCTGAGCCAGCACTGTTTCTGTCAATTCAGAACAGAAAACACCAGAGGGATTTTCCTTTGACTTCAGTGCAGATTATTTCAGAAACTCTTGTTCTTAACATTTTTTGGATTGTGGGTTACCATCAAGTTCCATCTTTTTTTTCCCCCAGGTAATAATATCAACTTTTTATTTGAAAATTATGTAATGGCAGCCCCATTTTTGCAGACCTTAGTATGGCCTCACATTCCAGCAGTGCCCAAATGAAACAGTTTGGGAATGCTGCTTGAAAGGGTTCAGATTGCAAATTCCCCATGCTGAGCACATGGCATGTGTATAGAATAAAAGGCAACAAGATACAGATACAGATATATTCACAATAACTCCAGGAAAAAAAGAAAGGGGGAGGAAAGTAGTAGAGACATGAAACACTAAGACTGAATGACCATTAGAAAATGTCATAATGGAATATTCACCATGTTTTTGCACCTTAATAAGAAAACTGTCCATCAGCTTCTATCCAGAAAGGACAGAACAGGATCTCCACTCATGCTGGAGATGTGTTAGTCTGACTCTGGTGCACAAGGAGGACATGAGGAGCCACAGAGCTCCTGAACTGAATTATTCTCCTGAAGAATTAATCTGGTTTTACCAATTTGTTGTGAGAGTTGGAGGCCAGGGGAAAATTAATGAGTGGAAAGCAGCCAGGAAAAATCTAGACCAGTTTATTTACTAGAAACAGCATGAAACAAGCTATTCTATTGACTCTCCACTGCTTCTTGGTGAGATTTATCGTGAGCCATGAGCAAGTTCGACACAAGTCTTGGAAAAAAGTGCATGAACATAAGCACCAAATAAAATGAGCAGCCAAATTCCTGGCTACTCCATCCACTGACCTTAACATTTTTGTTCACTAAGGCTCTTTATTCCAAACAGCAGTTCTGAGAGAACCAAGACTGCCAGCTCTATTTTTGCACAGAACTGCAGGGACAAAGTTAATCCACCTGGATTTGAGTCTTTGCAGTGGTTTGGGCTGTTGTCACGTCCTGCTCAGTTGTTTGTTGGAGCACATTACATCAGCCTGGCTTTTAATGGGATCTTTCCAGCTTAGTAGTGGAAGAAAAGATCACAGAGAGTGTGTTGTTCAAACACAGCAAGGCTGAGAAAAGAGGAGGGTCGGTTGTCCACTCCTACAAACAATTATCTGAATCCTGCAGGTGCTGGGCTGAGCAGGATTCCTGCATGATTTCCTGAAAGGAAAAGGACTAGGAGAGCTGTCTGCTACTGAATACCTCTCATCCTCAGTTTCTTTGACCTCTTTATCTTTTTTCTGATTTCTGAATATTCTGTCTTTTCTATAAGATTGAGAAATCCAGCATCTTTACTTAAAATGTGCTTGAGAGCCACGTGTACTTAATACAGAGATGGGACAAACTTTAACCTTACTTAAGAAAGCCTTTGGATAAATGCAAAAGTATTGCATTACCTGCTGGAGTCTGGGGAACACTGGGCTGCTCAGCTGTGTGGGAGTGTGTCTCCCTTTCTTCTGGTAAGTTCTTGGCTGCAAATACAAAGAAAAATAAACTCATTTGTCACGTAATTCATTAATAATGCATCTCTAGAAAAGGTTTGTATTTCCAGAGGTGGCATAATCAGTTTCCTGATACACTACACACCTTGAAAGTCCATGCAGAATCTCCAAAGCATGTTACATTTCATGGATTTAATTTTTATCCAGGAGTATTCACTTCAGTTCAAACAGTATCACTAATTTTCTCTTCAATTCATTCTGACTGGCAAAACATGTATTCATGAGAACAGAAAACCAGTTATTTCAAGCTGAAAAGCAGCTGCCCTTATCCCTTAATCAGCTGTATTATGAACAGCAAAATAACACGGAGCAAGTTCAGGATTCTCCTCCTTTCCCTACCACATGTATGGAATATTAACTTGCTCGAATGAAGATCTGTAACATCCTGCAGCCGAACCACGACAGAAAAGGGAAGTAAATGAAACCTACAGGCAGCACAATGAGACATGGGCATCTGCTCTATCCTGGTGTTGTTCCTGCAAGATGCCACCTCCATCTGGCAGTGGTTGGGGTAGATGTGGCCATCAGAGCCACACACGGGCTCGCCGTCGTAGCCGCAGTCCCGCGAGCACAGGCACTGCTCGAAGTACTCGTCCTCCAGGCAGCCAAAGATGTTGTTGCAAGGGCCAGAGTGGACAAATCCTGGGGATTAAAGAAATCCCAGTCAGTTTTGCACAGCACGAGGAAGGTGGAATGGAAATATTTCACTGATCATCAGTTTTTGTGTTGAATTCTTGAAGATTTCTAAGAGGGATTTACAAACTTGAGAGAATTAAAAGCTCTGGGAATAAAGTTGCCTTTTTGAAAGATGGTGCAACAGCTTCCTGACTTGGGATAAAGCAACTGTTTTTTCGCCACAGAGCACAGAAAGGAACAACAGCTTCTGGGGCAACTTATTCCTTTCATGGATGTATGAAATTGTTCAATCTTCCTATAGTTAATTGTGGAACTCCACTGCAAAATACTGGAGAGAAAGAAAACCAAACTTCGTGCTAAGGATTTTTTACCTCCTCTTTTACTGACACAGCTCCCCATGTGCAGGTTTTTCTAGAATTAGACATTTTATCTTGCCTCTGAAGCAAATCACAGTCACTTTGATGCCTGAAGATCACCACTGCTCTGTTTGTTGTGACTTTAACACTGCAAACCCTCAAACTTTTGTGGAACTTCCAGTAACATAGAGGGTGAAACATAACATTTGTCTAAATATTTTGAGTTTGTAACAGTTGTGGGTGTCGTTTTTCCTAAAGATCTGTGTGGTTTTGGGGTAACTCACCAACCCACTGGCTGGCTGAGCTTTCCACCTCGTTGCAGGTTGGGCCATCACAGAGCTCCCTGGCCAGGGGGCTGTTCTCACTCACGTTGTAGAAACGAGTGGCTTCAAAAGCTGCAGCAAGGAGGAGAAATCACAGCTGAGCCTCCTGCCTGCAGATCTGGTGTCAGCAGGGATCAAAGGGAAACAGGCACAAACCTGGCTCGTAGTAATCGTACACTTTGATAGGAACAGGGGCTGTTTTCCCAACTATGTGCTCTCTGAAAGCTTGGAACTTCACACAGGTCATGCACTGGCTGGGAATCTGTGTGAAATGGTGTAAAAGACTCAGAAACTACACTTGAAGTGAAGATGAATGAACACGGCATGTGCCCCAAATGCCAAGTACAAAGGCACCTCCAATACTCCAAGCATAGGGACAGAGGTAATGAATAAAAACCAAACAGGGTGAACTAAACCAGGATGCTTTGCTGACCTTTAAAGCACATTTTGCCACAGAGCAATGGCAGACACCCCACCTGTGTTCCTTGCCCACAACCACCAATTTCCTGCTGCTGACCAAGCCAAGAGAGAACTCACCTTCCACTCTCATGTCTGTGCTGTGAGATTTAATTATTCTGCATTTAGCACTGCTAGTTGGACCTGAAAATCAGATTATTTCAAGGCAAAAATCTAAGTGATATCCAGCCAAAACCACTCCATGGGCTGAAGAGAATCACCTGCCTCTGTTGTACTTTGGTTTCCAAGCAAAACCACAACCCCCACCTGCAGCAAAAGAAGCTCAAGCAAGAGGCCACTTAAAGCTGCAGGGTGATCCTCACCCCTGAGGGACCCCCAACACTCTGCTTCATCCCCTGCTCATTTGCCTCTCATCAAAATCCAGCATAATTATAAGAAACAAATCCATTACCTCATCAAAATAAAACAGGACTTTTCTTCCATCCACTTCATATCTTTTTAACCCAATTTGCTTGTTCATCAATAACTGGGGGGTAAAAAGAAAAAAAATTAAAAATCATTGTGTTTCATTTAATCTCATTTTATAGAAAACAGGTAGAAATGAGAGAATAAGTAACACTTCAGGCAGCTTAGAAAACTCATCAGCTATTAAACTCCAAGGATTTCTTCAGCTGGAAAAGGGTGTTTTCATAAGAGAGGGAAAATGCAAAGAGGTTGAAGTTGCTGTCACATGAGTGAGGAGGAGAAGCCACCTGTGTCCTGCTGGGAATTCTTGCATCAGGTGCATCAGCTGAGGGTTTTTCCTTATGCCCCTGGGACCCTCTGATGCCTCATCCATGACCTCATCCAGCAGCTCCCAGATTGTTTCCAGTACCAAGGCTCCAGCAAGACCTCAGAGACCCCAAACCACTCAATGAAGTCTCTTATTTATTTACACCCCTCAGACCACCAGGGAATCTCACTGGGTATTGAAGGTCCCCTCCTCCCAGCAGCTGAATAATCCAAAACATTCTTCTGCCAGGAAAATTAATCCTCACATTTGAAAAGAGCAGCCATTTGAAAGAGCCCCAGGCATCCTCCCTTTTGACAAATGGGGTCAGGCCAGGCCTCTGCTCCTCATCTGCTCTCCCTTCGAGGCCCAAGGATTTGGAATTTGGGGTTTGCATTGTACCAGGCAGGCCCACAGACCCACTTCTTCTGCTTTTATCTAAGGAACATCTGAAAACCATCTAAGGGCTCTTCCCACATCTCCAAACCTTTCTTTTCGATTTTCCAGAAGTTCCTCCTATGATTTCTGCACTTGGAACATCTCAATACCGTGACTGTCCTGCCTGATCAAGCATTATTATTTTGATAATTTTTATTCAGAATGCATCTGGCGCGTGGAAAATATCTAATACTGAAGTTGGGGAAGATGAGGGTTTGTGGAAAAGGACTTCTGTGTTTTAATCAAAGTTTGGGAGCCAAGATAGGGCCAGAGCACTCTATTCTATAATTCTATTCTCCAAAGCATCCTAATTACTTCAACCTGTCAGACACCCCCATTTATAACATAGGGATATTCTTGTGGGTTTTTTTTAAATTAAATTTTTAATGTTCTTAAGTTACTTTGAGATTGTAGGCTAAAATCTCTGTGGAAATGGGAACAAAAAAAGACAACAACAACAACAACAACAATAATAATAATAATAATAACTAATAAATATAATAATGATAACTGTAATTATTCTTTAGAATGACACAAAACAAACAGCATTGCTTCTTTCTAAACACTGGAATTTGCCCAAACCTGCCAGCAGCAGCTTTAGCTGTGCCTCCCCTCAGCAGAGTGCTCCTACTTGTAAACCCCTGCTCCCCAGCTTCCTGCTATTCCTGTAACAAGCAAAGCAACATGTGTTTAAGTCCCACACAATATGGAAAGGGCCAATTTAATTTGTCCTTATAATTTTAGGGGCCTGCTGGTGGCTGTTATTACTCAGCAGTCCATGGCTGCAGACAGGCCTTTTATGAGGGCCTGGAGACGCCGGCGCCACCGGGAACTGCTGGGCTCAGCTAAAACTGCATTTTTCTGGTGAGGTTTGATAGATCCCAGCCTGGGCTGACCTCCTGACCCTGTCGACATCCAGCATTATTAGGAGGATTTGTGGCCGGGGTGTGCACAGAGCCCTCATTAAGCAGCGCTGCCCTGGGGCTGCACGTGGGGCTGCTCCCAGCCTGGGCTGAGGGAAAATCCCAGAAAATCCTGATTTACAGCCCAGCCCCTCCTCAGCAGGGCAGGGAAAAGGCAGCAGGGCCAAAGGTGGGACTTGCTGCTGCTCAGGGTGGTGTCCAAAGCATGTGGTGAGGCTTCAGGGGGTGAATTTCGTGTTGGGCCCTCGTTTGGAAGCCATGAAGAAATCCCAGGATGGTTTGGGTTGGAAGGGATCTTAAAATTCGTCCAGTGCCAGCCCTGCCATGGCAGGGACACCTTCACTGTCCCAGGCTGCTCCCAGCCCTGTCCAGCCTGGCCTTGGGCACTGCCAGGGATCCAGGGTGGGCACCCTGTGCCAGGGCCTGCCCACCCTGCCAGGAACAATTCCTGCCCAATCTCCCATCCAGCCCTGCCCTCTGGCACTGGGAGCCATTCCCTGTGTCCTGTCCCTCCATCCCTTTATCCCCAGTCCCTCTCCAGCTCTCCTGGAGCCCCCTCAGGCTCTGAGCTCCCCCTGGCAGAGGAGGATCAGGCGGGGCTGGATCTGCCTGCCCATAGATAAGCTTGGGCTTTGTCACCACATTTCATTTTTAGAGATGCAAAAGGGTTTCTCTGATAAAAAAACATGGAATTCAGTTCTTCAAGGGAACATTCCCTCTTGAAGATGTAAAATCCTTCCCAATTAAGGAAAATCTCCCCCTATTCCGATCTGTTATGGGAGCAGCAGAGCCTTCTTGGCTCACACATTTATGACAGAAATTCTTGGTACAGGGTGCCCAAGGCCAGGCCGGGCAGGGCTGGGAGCAGCCTGGGACAGTGGGAGGTGTCCCTGCCATGGCAGGGGTGGAATCTGGATGAATTTTAAGATCCCTTCCAACCCAAACCATCCTGGGATCTACTGCAAACCAAGTGTCAGAGCACATCACACAGCCAGTTCCTTGTGATACCATCATCAGTGTCCCTTGGAGACAGCACAGCCCCATGTTAATCATTTATTCCCAATTTTTCTCAGTGTTCCTCTGCTCAGAACACACCCAGAGCACAGGGCAGGGCAAACCATCACCCACAGCACAGGAGGAGCCTGTGAGCAGTCACTGCACACAGACTGAGCCTGGCTGGGGCCCAAGGCCTTCCCTGGGACACCTGGGTGCCACCAGCCCCAGAGCTGCTCTGGAAAAGGGGAAAGTGTTCAGGGTCAGTGACGCGAGGGCAAGTGGGATTTTCTCTGGTTCCTCAGCTTAGAAACTCTCAGCTGATATCAGGAAAAGAGATATTCACCCAAATTTGTTATTTCTTCTTTGCCCACTGCAGGAAAAAAAAGAAAAAAGGAAAAAGGAAAAAGGAAAAAGGAAAAAGGAAAAGGAAAAGGAAAAAACCTAAAATTAAAAATAAATAGAAAAAGAAAAATATTAAAAAAGGAGAAAATGTAAAAAAAGGAGGGGAAAGGAAAAAAAAGGAAAAAGGGGAAAGAAAGGAGAAAAGGGGTAAAAAAGGGAAAAAGGGGAAGAAAGGGAAAAAAGGAGAAAAAATTAAAAAAGGAGAAAGGAAAAAAGGGAAAAGGAAAAAATTGGAAAAAGGGAAAAAAGGAAAAAAATGGGGAAAAGGAAAAGGAAAAAAAAAGGGAAAAGAGGGAAAAAAGGGGAAAAAAGGGAAAAAAATTGGAGTACAAGGATATATTCCTTAAGAACTTTCCCGTTCTTCTGCAGTGAAAACCCTTCATGCTCTTTCTTTCGACCCTTTCCCTCTGCTCACAGAACATTCCATAGGTTTAACACCATAAAGTTATCCTGTTGTTCTCCTCCTGGGACATTTGGAGCTCTCTCTGGTTCTCATCCATATTTTTTCTGCTGTCATTTACATGAATGACCATGGAAGAGAATATATTTGACAGCACTGCACGCATGAGCATTGCTCCAGCACCTTCAGCAGAGGGGGGAAGCAGGAACCAAACCCACTGCAGGCCCCCTCACCTAAATTTTCCTCTTTTCCCATGGGAATGCTGGAGAACTCCTGCTCCCACCTGAACAGCCATATTCAGTCGGTCGCATGAGAGAGAATATCAGACTCACAGGCAAATAAAAACTGATCAATTTTGCATGCTTGTGGATTTGAAAATAGATTTCTCCACGTGTGAATGGATGTAAATAACTGCAGTTTTCCTCTTTATAGGAATAATTTAATATCTGATCCCCTGTTCTGAGAGGATGCAATTGCTTCTCAGGGATTAATACAAAAATTTCTGTGGCTTCAGGGACACCCCAGGAGACATCTGACAGCAGCTTCTGACATGGATTGTAAACCCCTCCAGAGGGCTTTTTCCTCCAAGAAAATGCAATGGTGTTTCAATTATAAATCAACCAAATCAAGTGAAATCCTAGAGAAGATAAAGCAATGTGCACTCTTCCTTGAATTATGATATCAAATTAAACTTCACAATGGTTCTACTTTAAAATTCTTCCCTTCCCAATATAATGAAATAAAGTTATTAACAGAAGAGTTCCTTTAGAAGCAAAATATTTTTTAGCTCTTTACCAGCTCTCAAGGATGCAAAAATTTTACACCTCTTCAGTTAAACAGTCCTTAAAAAAAAAAATAAAATCTTTGCAGCATAAGAACCCCACCAGTGAATGCAACGTTCCACAAAATGTAATGAGTTGTAATGAATGGAATACTCCCACAAATCTAAAGTAAAGCTCAAGATTACAGTTCATCTGCCCTGAAGGGCTGGCTGGGCACGAGGCACATTCTGTCCACCTCAGCTTGGCTGCAAGAAACACGATGTTCTCCCAGAGAGAAGGGAAAAAAAATAAAAAGGGCAAAAAATTCCAAGACACAGAGCCTCCAAAGAAATGGGATCCAGATGTTGGAGATAACACAGCTCACTAAGCAGCCATAAACAGCTCCTGTTAGAGCACATTTGCACCTCAGCTTTTCCAAGGGGTTTCAGTTAATTACTGTGCACTGGCTCAGGAAAACCTTGGCTTGGCTGGGTTGGCTTTGCTCAGCCTGCTCACAACGTCTGTTCCCTCATTTCAGAGAGATTTTTTGACAAGTGAAATCTCTTCCTCCCCTTTCCCAATTTTAATTGCATCTTTTCAGCAGTGCTCTGACACTCTATGGGCTTCTCTTGCCCCTTGGAGGGAACCCCTCCCAGTCAGAGATCCACATCCCAGCCCTGCACCCCCATCCCATTGATCCCATCCCATCCCATCGATCCCATCCCACTGATCCCATAAATCCCATCTCATTGATCCCATCCTATTGATCTCATCCCATCCATCCCACTGATCCCATCGATCTCATCCATCCCATCTATCCCATCCCATCCCATCCATCCCACCCCATTGATCCCATCCCCTTACCTGTTCCAGGCTCTCAATATCTGCCCGAAACCCTGAGAACAAAGGCACTTCCAACACTGCCATGTTTGAGGATCCAGAGTGCAGCCATCTTCCCATGGGAACAAAAAGAGAGAAAAATGGGAACACACTCAAGATCTATGGACAACTCAGAATGGAGAAGCCAACTCCAGAAGAAAAAAAAATAACATAATAAAAGGCTCTCCTCATTAAAGTGCTTGGGGAAAGCCACAGTCCACAAGCTGGTTCTTAAAAATCCTTTTTTCTGCTTTTGTTTAACAAAATGATGCTCAGCTCACAGGGGGTAGGAGATGTCCTGGAACACAGAGGCAGAAAAGCAGAGGGATGCAGCCACCTGTGGGGCTGATTGCTTTCTTTTTCAATTAATCACTGAGAAAATGCTCTTGGTAAAAGGAAACAAACCCTTGAAGTAGGAGAAACGTCTGTTCCTCCCTGAGAGAAGGGCTGTAGATGGACTGTGGTGGGAGAGGGATGCTAATTCCCAACACCAGGCAAGGTCATTCAATCCTGGGGTTTCATAAATGCCTGTTTCACCCCTGGCACTGAGAAAAGAGCTTTTGCTAATGAGTCAGCAAAGTAACTGCCTCGCTGGTGTTAAATCACTGCCTGTATCATCCCCTAGAGTATAACTGAAAACTCAGAAAAATCTGTGAAATCGAGTTGTTATAAATGTGCACAAAATCCCCGCACACAGGAAGGCTTGGAGAGAAGGGCTGCTGGGGCAAAATGTCAAATGTTGCAGCATGGCAGAGGAGTGCCCATCCTAAGCAGCTCCTGGAATCCCAGAACAAAGCTCCTTTTCTCTGTGCTGCCAGCAGCTGCCAGCCCTCCCTCCTTGGCAGCTCACCTGTTTGCTGTGCCCCACCTGAGCTGGGCCCAGCAGGGCTCATCAGCTGGTGCCCAGCACTGAGAACACAAACTCCCACAGCTTCCAGCACCAAATCTGCCAGGCTCACAGTAGCATCAGGTGGCCTTGGGACAGAGCCAGCTGGCTCTGGGTGAGGCACTCAGGGCTCCCAGAGACATTAAACTTCCTTAATTCCCATCTAACTCCATGCTCCTCTTGGTAATGGGCATAAAAAAATATGCAAAGTGTATTCAAACAGACCCACACTCCCAAATAAATCATCCAGGATCCCTTTGCCTGCATCTCCCCAGCCTGTTACACATCACAGCTTTCTATTTTCCACCCTGTGTTCTCTCTAACCCTGCAGCAGTGCCCCGGGGATGTGACAGGGCATGACAACACTTCATCACATTCTGAGAACACCCCCAGCTCAAAATATCTCAGTTGTCATCCTGAGCTGCACTCCTCTCTTCACACTGCCCCAGCAAGATGATGATGGAGCTGAGAGCATCATTACAGGAAGAAGGGGAGGAAAGGAAGATTTCATTTGCTTTTGTTTCCTTTCCAAGCAATCCATCTCCTTGCACTGGGCTTCCTCTCAAATTTCTGTCTCAGCTGCAGCAATTCCCAGGGCAGAAGTTTCAGAAGTATCAGCAGAGAGGTTGTGCTGATGCAGGGCAGCCCCCTCAGCATCTGACACGACTGTGGAATTTTATCCTCTCCCCAAAACAGGCTGAGGGCTCAGGCAGGGGAGAAGAAGTTGGCACGGTGACACTTGGGGGCAGTGCCCGTGGGCCAGGGAAAACAAATCCCATCTTTTGCTGGGGTCCTGCAGCTCTGCTCAGGTCTGCAGGCTCTGTGTGCCCTCGCCTCTGCAGGAAGGAAGGGACAGAAACTGATAGGGGAAGCCAGGATTTCCCATTAAGCTCTGATAGGGCAGCCACCATTTTCCATTTCCATCTGAGGTCTGAGGCACTCTTTGGAATTCTCCTGTTGGAGCTCAGGGAAGCAGCAGCCCCCTCACCTGCTATGAAACATGAAATTAGTTCTGAATTTCTTGGGAATGGTTTCTCCTGTTGCACAGCAGGATGCTGTGAGCCCTCTCTGTTTCCTCTGGTTGTGGCTTTATCTCTCTTGGGTCAAATTCCCAATAACCTCCCTAAAAAGCCAAATGCTTTCTAAAGAGATCAGCAACCCCTGATGACTGCAGCAGTACCAAGGTGTTTGAGCAAAACTTGTAAGTGGATTTAATCCAGGTCAGAAACTATTCTTGCTGCTGTTTGTCTATAGCCAAGCTGTTTTCTCACAATAACTTGAGTTTTCCAATCTATAAAATCAGACAGAACTGCTCATGTCTCTGAGAAGTGCTTTGAGAGCTAGAAATGAAACTTCTGGATCATGCCACTTTTAACAGTTATTTTACATTTCATTATATGGAGCAAGGAGATAAGGAATTTAAAAGTTTATTAATATCTGCATGTATTGTGCCTTTACCATATATTCCAAATTCATACCATGGCAAAAAGTATCTTCTGTTAGGTTTTTGACATCCAAAACTGAACCACTAAGGAGCTCAAATAACAAAGTCAAGTCAGTAATATTTATAAAACTATTGAGACAATTAAGATATTATTTAACCAGTTGAATTTACCTTGCTCTTTGAAGCTTTTAAGAAAATAGTCCAGAACTTTTTCTTTTCATCCTTATACAAGCAAATAACATCACATTTGTAATTTCCAGGGTTTGCAGAGGCAATAATGAAGCTCAGTGATAAAACCTCAAGGCTTTTTTTCTTATTTCCCTACCTTTGAGACACACTTAGCACTGAAATGATCAAGAATGACCTTGGAATGGCTCTGTCTTACAGCAGAGTGGTGAAAATAATCCAGAACTTTTTCTTTTCATCCTTATGCAAGCAAATCACACCACATTTGTAATTTTCAGGGTTTGGAGAGGCAACAATGAAACTCAGTGCTAAAACCTCAAGGCGTTTTTCTTATTTCTCTTATTGGCACTGAAAAGATCAAGAATGAGCTTGGAATGGCTCTGTCCTAGAACCCAAGTGGTGAAAATAATCCAGAACTTTTTATTTGCATCCTTACACAAGCAAATCACACCACATTTGTAATTTTCAGGGTTTGGAGAGGCAAAAATGAAACTCAGTGCTAAGGCGTTTTTCTTATTTCTCTTATTGGCACTGAAGATCAAGAATGACCTTGGAATGGCTCTGTCCTAGAACCCAAGTGGTGAAAATAATCCAGAACTGTTTCTTTTCATCCTTACACAAGGAAACCACATCACATTTGTAATTTGGAATGACTGTGTCCTACAACCCACTGAACATTCTGCTGAAACTCCCGAGACCTGGACAGCGCAGAAGAGAGAACGCCGCGCTTTCCTGCCACAGAGGGGCTGTGCACAACAAGACCAGCAAACGGAGAGTTCCGTGGGGAGCAGGGCTGGCATTCCCTACCTCGTGCAGGTCTCCAGGATGACTTTGTACTCTCGGTGGTCCTGGTCTGAGGCCGGGTCCTCGTCGTCCCCCAGGGCCCTGTCCCTGTGCAGGGCTCCGGGGCGGCGCTGGGCGGCGGAGCCCGAGCGCAGCGGGGCTGGGGCTGGCAGGGGCTGCTCTGCCTTGGGCTCCTTCAGGTTCACCAGGAGCTGGAAGGCTGGTTTGGCTATAGGATCGGGTACGTTGTAAGTGACATCGATCTGCAGAGGGAAGAGGGGAAAGCAAAACAGCTCCAATGTTTTCAAGTGTCTAAAAACATCCAGCACAGACATCAGGTCTCTTCAGAGGGGGGAAAATGGCAGGCACAGAGGTAACAGAGGTTTCATTCCACAGTTCTATCTCTATATAAGCTCTGTCAGAGCTTACATAGACATCTACACATTCACTTCTCAAATTAAAGCTACACCACATTACTGGAGAGAAATTCCAAGTGTAAGTCCTTCCTTGTGGCAAAGTGGGATTACAAAAACAGCAAACAAGGCTGTGAGGTTAGAGATCATCTGCTGCCATGCTTTCTCCAGCCCCGTGACAAGCTTACCTGCATCAGACAGCAGCCTTCACCTTTGGCACTCACAAACAGCCCTGTTGGAATACTGGGGATCTGGGGAGAATGCACAAGTGAGACACAGACAAGACATGGCACTCAGAATGGAAATGAATATTAAATTTAGCTCTGTTCTGTACAAAATACCTTCATAAAGGGCCCTGCAGAAGTGAAGGGAGCATGGCTTAGTCTCTTCACCACCTGCACTTACAACGGCAGAGACAAACAGCAGCACAAAATAAACACCAGGCATTGGCTGTGGTGAAAAATGCCTTTAATTAGGAGTGCTGCCTCCTTCACAGCAGCATCCAGCCACAACCCCACAGAAAGTCCCACAGGTCTCAGTGCTTAACTTTTGCTTTTACCAGCCCTGATCCAAGTCCTCATTCAGAGCCCAGCTCACGTGGATCGCTTTAAAAATCTGCCTGCACAAAACCACCTACCACTGCAGTCTGAAGGACTTTTTTATTCATCTTGTTAAGCTCAAAGGTCTCCTGGTAGTCCAGGTTAGTAGAAGCCAAGGAAATGGTCAGGTTGACTCCTCCAACATAAGAAAGGATGGCATATTCAGCCAGAGCCTGCAGGGCCACACAGGTGTCCTGGGGGCCAGAAGAGGGAGAAATCAGAACAGTGAAGAATACAGGAGCACAGCAAACTTCCAAACACCTCTGCTCAGCTCCAGGTGGCAGGATCTCCCTTATTAATTCATATGGCAAAAGAAACATCAAGTTTTGCTCACTTTTCCTATCAAAGGCACCTGTGAGGACAAACTCTGGGTTCCTTTCAAATTACCAGTCCGAGGAGGAAGAAGTAAAGAGCGCTGGAAAGATTTTCTTCTTACCAGAGCACAAACAGATCCTGTCAGGAAACTCCACATTGCTGAATTAATTGACAGTGCATGCATCCCAGCTACCTTTTGCAGAGGCTGCCCACCTGAGTAGATGAGAATCCTCCCAGTGCATTCCTCTGCTGGGAGAGCCACTTGACTACAGGGAGTGCAGAGGCCACGTCTCCCAGGAGTGTGTAGGTCAGAAGGGCGTAAGATGTCATTTCCACCTCTGCAGAAACAACTGAAAGAGGGGTGAATTTAGAGAAAAATATCAAAAGACCACCTAGAAATGAGAATCCAGGCAGGTCTAGAGGTAGTTCTACAAATATTTACTAACTGAAAAATAATTCTAAAAAGTTACGAGTCTGTAGAAGTAAACACAGGAAAAGGGAAGTTAAAATGTGTGCACCCAAAGTGCTTCACCTCCCTGCGATATCTCTGCTTTCAACATCAGCCTCCCTTCAGTCAATAGATAACCAGTAATAAAGATATTCACATAATAGATAAACTCCTTTTTCTTAACTGTATCCCACAAGTAATTCCTCTCCCACTCCAGTTCTACTCTGCTGCTGCCCACACTGTTGTCCTGCCCTAGAGATTTTCATACAATATCCACTCAGATCCCTCTTGAACATTGATGCACCTATATCATATCCAAAGAGTCAATGGCTTTAAGTGGCTTGAAAATTACAGCATCGTTCACTGTTTCTGTGGCTTTAACAGCCAAAGTCTAGAAAAACCAGCTGAAGTGTCAGTGATACAATCCTTAGGTCCATTTCAAAACACAAAGATAAATAGCTCTAAAATGAAATACATTTAAATTCTCTCCAATTTCCATTTTGAATTATTACTCCCTGACAGAAGAGTGAGATCTATGTGAGATTTTGTCTTTATAAAATTGGAGTGAAAGCTGATGAGACAACTGGGGCTGAAAAATCTGTCCTGTCTGGACCACATCTTGCTCTGTCTCTCATTTATTCTTTCAGCATAATGTTACCTGCATTTTCTGAGCTCTCTTTTTCTCTGGACCCTTCCCTGAGTGAGTGACAATTTCAGGATACCTTGTATTTTATAAACAATTCACTGCAATACGTGCAGGTTGATAAGGCAGCCCCTTCCATTTTCTCTGCCCTGCAGGTTCCCAAATACCTGATTGAGAGAGTCCATCATTAAATCCCATGAAAGTGTCTTCATCAGTGACAAGGGTTCCTGTGAGGCTCCAGTGTGTAAATCCATCTAGGAGAAGAGGGCAGTGGGACAGGGGAGTTATTGGAGCAGGAGCCTCTGGGCATGGGAAGAGTCAAATCCTACTTTTGCATTGGCTCCATGCCCTGAGCTGCACTGTCCCTCCTTTTGGACACCCAGACCCTGGGCAAGGGGCTCCCTTTGGAATGACAGAGATGATTCAATGTGACAAATCAGGTGGCTCTTGGATTTTGGATTAAAATACACCAGCAGGGAATGTGAGGTGTTACAGGGCACTGCAGAGCCTCTGAACAGCTCAAAATCACTCTGCTGTTAAAGAGCTGAACTGAACACCAGGGCTGTGGCTCTGATCTCTGTGTGAGCCACTCACTCTCGAGCTGGTCCCTTGCAATTCAGGATATTCTGTGATTCTTCTGCACCTGCCTTCCTTCAGGAGCCCTCTCCAAAGAGAACCAGGAGCACCCTTGCCTTACAAAGCCAAACTGTGCCACCTTGGGTTTGTATGAAAATCTTGCCTCTTTGTTTTCTTATTTTTTTCTTTATAATGTACTGAAAAAAAATCCAGATTTAGAGTTTGTCCTGTTTGGTGTTCCTCTTCTGATAGGATTTAAAGGATCCTAACCAAGGGTCTGATCCTAAAGAAGGCACAAAGGAACTTCGTGGTAGCCCAAATATGAGAGGAAATGGATTATTTCCTTGCATTAGTCCATATGAACACAAATGTTATAACTTTAGAGAGATGGGATTTTTCTTTTTTTTTTTCTCCATAAAATCAGCCTCTTTCAGTGAAACTGCAGAACCTGCCAGTGAGGAATCCTCATCCCCCAGGCCCCATGCTCTGCAGCAGCTCACGCAGGTTGTGTTGGGTTGGTGTGAGACAGAGTGAAAATTTAACAGGGTAGAAATCTATTTAAATTTAGGTGAAATGTGCCACTTTGAGCTTGCTAAATATGCTGTTTAGTCTGATAACTGCAGGCCTAGCAAAACTACCCCATCTAAAGAAAAAGAATGCAAATTTCCACACTAAAAGATAAGAGATAAGAAAGACTCCTCAGACCTTGAAAGGGACAGGGCAGAGTGACCCAGGAGTTCTTTCTGTACTTTCTGGCAAAAGCAGTACAAGTGTAACTAGCTATAAATGTAATGTGAAATCAGCAGAATGAATATGCATTAACCTATTGTGAAATTCTATGCATCTAGAAATTAGTCAGGGCAATAAAAAAGGATGGGGAATTCTCAGAGGTGCTCATGTCCATCGAAGGGAACGAGTCCCCACATTGCATCCACAGCGCTGTGAATAAACAAACCCATTCCCTACAGATCTTTATTGGAATTGTGGGGTTGCTTTTTCATCTGTGTTTCAGGTGTGAGGGCAGAGGCAGGGCTGCAGCTCCTACCTTGGGTGATGGCCATGCTGTTCATCCTGCGCAGCACTGCAGCTGCACTGGGGCTGTGCAGCAGGCTCAGGGCGTAGGCGCTCAGGGCAGTGGTGTAGGGATCTTCTGCTGAGTACAGGTTGGACTCCAGGAAGTGTTTTGCTTTGTCTACAGCTGTTCTTTCTTCCTACATTCACAGGGGAAAGAGCCCAGGCAGATGTACCAGTCTCAGGAGTTAGAATTGCTTTATTCATTTAAAAAAACCAAAAAAAAAAAAAAANAATTGCTTTATTCATTTAAAAAAAAAAAAAAGAAACAACAACCGAACAAAAACCAAACAAAAAACACACAATAAACTCAGAATGATGCATTTTGCTCTCTCTGCAGAACAGCATGGATGCTTTGAGGACACATTGGACACCATGAGAATAGCCATGCATCAAAAATTCCAAAAAAAAAAAAAAAAGGTGCAAAGAGCAGAGAAATAATGATTTAGGCTAACACTGAGACACACATTTTCCTCCCTAAAGCTGAAGAAATTCTGTGCCCCTGCAAGGCAGCAGATGAGCAGGGCAGGGGCGAGTTCTGTGCTGGAGGTTTGATTGTGTTCCTGACACTCTGGAGCGTCTGGCAGACGCCAGAGGATAATAAAGGCCAAGGTTCCCAGGGGTCCCTGCAGCCAACAAACATGTTTTATTAACTCCCCCAATGACCTCACCATGCAGGAACGTGGCTCTGATAATTTATAGAAACAATTTAATTGGACTTGATGTAATTTGGTTTCCTTTGATTTCCCTGTGGCACTAACCTTCCCCTTCCTCATTTCCTAGCTAAGATCATTAGGAACACTCAACAAATCTCCTCTAGGAAAACCATTGGAATCCACAGAAACTGCACTGCTGGGGCTGCCCTGACACAGCAGCCCAGAGAGAGCATCACATCACTGCTCAGAGGGGGACACTGCTGACAGGGAGGCAGGAAGTTACTCCCTGAGCTCTGCAGGGTTTTCTGAATTTTTAATAAGGTTGAAAGCCTTCCACTCCAACAAGGACAGGGGGTTAGGGGGCATCTGCCTGCAACAGCAGCCTGGGCTCACTCTTCAGGCTCCACAGGGATGGGTGAGGAGTGCTGAGGTTATCAGAGGTCCTGAATGGGCACTGGCTGTTCTGACACCTCCACAAACTCACGGGGCTGTGCCTGAATGGGCCCTTTTGTGTGAGAGCAGATCTCCAAGGGATGCTGCAACATCCACTGCACCTCCTCTTTTCATCTCCCAGGCAGCTCTGCCTGTGCACAGCCACCACTGCCCTCCCCTTGGCTGAAGGGCAGGGGAGCATCTGCATGGGAGCATCTTCCCAGTCCTAGTTAGTGGGAATGTGCCACCATAATCTTATCTAAACAGCTCCATCCGAGTGGAACTGCCTGCTGGCAGAAACACATCAGAGGGCAGGAGCACTGCTTTATCAGGAGTTTTAAGGAGGAGTCCCTAAAACACCAGTTATACTGGAAAATTGGGGGTTTTTTTCCAGTGGAGTTGGCCATTCCTACATAGCTGCTCCTCTTTTTTGCAGCGTTCTTGCTCTGTCTCATTGCAAAGAACAGAAACATTTTTCTGCAGAGCCCTCAGTCCAGCACAGAGCAGGAGCTCAGCTCTCCAAAGGCACTGTAATCTAACAGCAGTAGCATTTTGGCCACTGCAGCCAAGCTAGACCACAGGAGTGCTGTGGATCCCAAAGTTAAACTGCTCTTAGCACCAAGCCAGGATTTCTGAGTCTCTACAGGCAGGAGAGCAGGATCTGCACAGGCTGCACTCACAGCTTGAAGCTAAGAGGCAGAAAACTCTTTTTGCAGGAATTTCTGGGAGGGGTTGAGGGATGGAGCTGCAGGGAGGTGTTTTGCTCTGGTGAAATAATCATGAGCTGATGGCTGGAGGGTGGGAGACCACCTTGAACAACTTCAGAACATTCTTTAATTTCAGAACAATCCCAAGGCTTTCCAGCAGCCTCTCTTCCCTGGATGCTGTCAGTCATTCTAGAGAGCACAGAACCTCTGAAGGCAAAGAGCAGCAAAATGAAGATTAAAAAAAAAAA